CAAAAAAAAAAAAAAAAAAAAAAAAAAAAAAAAAAAAAAAAACACACACAATATTGAAGAGCAATAAACCAAAGCAAACAACAAAATGCCGAATGCTGAATGCACTAATAAGAAACATGTAATAAAAATTGAATAAAGGTATCCATAATTTATACTCTGCTAAATCGAAAAAAATTCTATGCCCTTGAAAAAATTTGTTTTCCATAAATCTCGTTAGATCTCGATATTTCGATTTCTGTGTAAATCGAAAAAAAAGATATTTTTGCCATTTCGTATTATCGGGACTCGATGGTACAGCAACTGCTTAAGTTATCGATAACATTTTGAATTGAAATTATATAGTAGATATTGGCATTTACTTGAGCATTGTCTTACGCCTGCTGAACATGTGTAAATCATTTTAAAAACATTTTATAAATAGAGGCTCGGCTTTTAGTACGCAATGTAAATTTTCTGAATTGTCTGAGCTGATTGAGCTAGCAGCTCAGCAATTGAACAGTTAAAGTATGAGAGAAGTCTTTAGCAACTTCAGTCAACATTTAGATGGAGTTTCATGTGAAGTGCAGAGAATACATAAAAGATATATAAGTGGCTGCTACAGTCAGGCTGAAAGAAGCGCAAAGCCGCTGCGCATATTTGGCTAATGGGATATTTTCCAAATAAAACTACAATCAAAACCATAACTCACAAAGTTTTTATTTTATTGCACATTTCTATAGCTCTCACTTATATTATTTGGCCAGCCCAAAAATTCTTGGTAAAGTGCTTGAACCCAATTATTATTTTGACTGCTGCGCAACGAAATTCATAGCAAAATTATAATGCTCTTAAAGAGTCAGTCGCAGTAGCCTGCGCCTATTGTATGTAAATAAATAAATACATACATAAATTCTCATTCAACAGAGACGCAACAAAAACACAAAAAGAAATGACGTAAGACTTCTGTTTGGTAGCAAAGCCAAAGCAAAAGTAAAAGCAAAAATGCCCAATTGCCAGCCCTTTAAGGCACTTTCTATTCAAGCTGAAACATAGAATCAAATAAGAAATTCTTAGTTGGGAGATGCAAATTCCAATTGGAAGCGCAACAACAACTAAAGACCTAGACACGTGTCGCCTCCACTTGAGCGCTTATTTGGCACTCGATGCAGTTAATGTTTAAACAATTGCTAGTTGTTAAATTTCTTGGCAAACGAACGAATCGACCCAATGGCCACAATTCGACAAGCAGAGATATATACATATATACACATATATATTCATATATACATATATGTATATATTTGTATCTCACTCCTGGAATCTGTTTCATGTCATTTGCGAATTGCTTCCGAATGAAAAAAAAAACAGAGATACAATTCATTCACATACATGAATACGTACATACATACATACATACATACATATGTGCTATCTATATACACCTCTGTGCACACATATATGCACACTTGCATTTAAATGCTACTTGGCTGCTTTAAATGCGCCGTTGACTTTGACTTAACGGCTCGTCTATTGACCCCACTGTGGGCAGGCGGGCAGGTGGGCGGGAGGGGGGCGCGGACCAAGAGCTCTTACGAGAGCAACAAGTATTCGTGGATATTTTTAAGCATAGAACAATAGCAAAACAAGTAAAACAGAAAGCAAAATACAAAAGCAACGCCAAACAGCTGAATGATGAAAATACCGAACGCATCTTTCGCTGCTGCACAGTGGTACCAAACATTGACAATACAAATACCGAATTTATTTATTTTTTTTTAATAAAATAATAATAAACAACTATTCCGTTTATTGTTTAAGAAGTATGATTTACAAACTTACAATTTTTTTATTAAAAATTAACAATTTATTATATGTTTATCCACTGTGCCTAGACTGCTGCCAACAGAATTTACAAGTGTTAACAATGAACAAATGTTCTTCATTGTTTGTTAAGGAAACGCCGGCGATGCGATGCCACCAGATTTTTTCCCAATTCATTAGCAACATATAAATATATATATATGTATAGTACATAAGTACACATTTATATATACATACATATGTATATACAGCCAACAAATGTGAACGTTTAAGCAGAGAAATGTGGCTAGATATGCATTTGGCTTGAGATAGAGAGAATGGCATAATAATTACATTTTATGCAAGGAAAAGGAAAGAAAAGAGTTCTTTAATGAATATTATATTTGTTGAATTCTAAGACTATTAAATTGTACATTAACAAAAGGATTTCAAATAGACACTGAATGAATGTTAATTATGACTTTAATAATATTCAATTTTTGTTCAGAAATTTTAAATTATAATAGAAATATGAATTCAACTATTAAAAATTAAAAATTTGATAAATTTTAATTTATACTTTTTTATTTCAATTGTATTTTAATTTAATTAAAAATCTTTTCTTGTTTATGTATTTATTTATGTATTTTTATTTAATTAAAAATCTCTTTCTTTAATTGATGTATTTTAATTGAATTAAAAGTCTCACTAAGAGTTTAAGAGAGAAGATTCATGGATATCTTGAATCACATTAGGTTTTGAAAAACAGTTGGATAATTGCAGGTAAAACGTATGAATGAATGAGAATGAATCGATGCTCATTAAGATCAACAATTTTGCTAAATTCAAAAACAAAACAAAAAGCCTTAGGCCACATACCTTAATCAGTTGAAAATGTTTCATACAGTTGAAAATGTAAAATACATAAATGTATTTTCAATAAATAATTATGAAATGTTCAGAAATTTAATTTCAGTGAATTTAATGTTTAAGATCAAGATAAATAAGAATGAATAATTTAAATTAAATAAAATAAATATTTTAAAATTAAAATCAAATCA